CTCTCTCTCTCTCTCTCTCTCTCCCTCCCTCCCTCCCTTCCTCCCTTCCTCCCTTCCATGGTATTTCAAAAATTGTGGTAAAAGCCATCTTAACCGTTTTAAATGTACTGTTCGGGAGCATTAAGTATATACACAATGCTATACAAACAGAGCTTGGGTGTGGCTTAGTGGTTGAACACTGCCTAGCATATGTGAGGCCCTGGGTTCCATCCCAGCAAAATACACACACACAGAGACACACACACATGCATATACACACACAGAGACACACCACACACACACACACACACGCACTTACTCAAAATCTCCCCACCTACAGATAACCATAGTGTTGAACAACCATCACCACCATCCGTTCCCATAAATCTTCCACCTTACCAAGCTGAACCTCTGTACTTATTAAATGCTCTACTTCCTGTTCTCACTTCCTCTCCCCAGCCCCGGCACCCACCCTTCTGCTTTTTGTCTCCATGCGTCTGACTACTCTAAGGACCTCATGTGAGTGGAATCACTCAGTATTTATCTTTTTGTAACTGTCACATTCCCCCAAGCATAATATTCTCAAAGATCATCCACGCTGTAGCATGTGCCATAGTTTCCTTCCTTTTAAAGACTGAGTAGCATTCCATTGTATGGCTATGCCACATTTTATCCACTCATACAGAATGTCCAAAATTGGAGCTGCCATGAAAGATCAAGACATTTCAATGGGCCCGGTTTCTGCCACAGTGATAATTCCTATGGACACAATGCCTGTCAGTATCCCTGTGGCTTTGCAGTAGGTATAAGGAATAGAAACGGGGGCTCTTTGACCTTTGAGTGCTCACTGTGGAGCCAGTTGGGGTGGGCTGCAGCTGGTAACCCATTCTCCATTTGCAAGCCCGGGACACAAAGCACTTGGTGACAATGGGTGACCCAGGCTCTGGCACAGGGGATGCACAGGGGTCAGTTTGTGTGAATGGCCCTGTGTCCCCATTACTGCCTCTAGAGTGGCATCTTTGGGCTTGCCAGGGACCTATGGCCTGTGACCTGAGGCAGAAAAAGAAATGACTCCCAGTTACCATCTCTTGGGAAGATGAACGGACGCACTGTAGGGAGGTTAGGAAAAGCCTGATAAGCAAAACTTCTAGAAGCCAGAAAAGCCAGCCAGTGAAGGAAGGAGGTGTAGGGCCACCTAGGAGACAGGCACAAGGGAACCCTGGAGCAGCCCCCATCTCATGTCCAGACAGAGGTCAGGTTCCCATGTGTTCTTTTAAGGATGCGCACACTCTTTTCTTGCTTCTGGAGACTGGGTGCATGTCTACAACTTGTCTGACAAGGACTTGTACCTGAGGTGGTGATGGAGCAAGGAGGTTTCTACCTTGAGTTCTGAGGACCAAACTGGAAAACCAAAGCTGCAGGTCCTGAAGCCAGCCCCGGCTGACCTCAGAGACCAGCTTGGCCATTTTAGCAAAGGCTGCTTTGTTCACTCCTGGTGTGGGGGTGACAGCCATGAGTTTGGGTTATTTTGGGGTGATAAGAGGTAAAATTGTGGCATGGTTATGCATCTCTGTGGATACACTAAAGAATGCTGAATTGCATACTTTAAAGGGGTGAGTTGTATGGTAAGTGAACTATTTCTAGATAAGGCTATTCACACACATGTACACACGGCCATTCACACGGGAAATCTTCCATACCAGGACAGAGCACATGGTCAGTTTGCTGCTCTCTTACTTTGCTTCTTCTGAGAGGACAGGCTGGGCATCAGCTCCCTTTGCACAGTTTCCCCACTTGAAACTAGGATATGGAACCTGACCTCCCTGTTCAGGAGGTCCGGGAATTTGGGCTGAAGCCAAAGGGTCTTTCTTGGCTCTATTCAGAAGCACATCATAACCACAAAGTGTCAGGTGGGGTAGGAGGGGCCTGCAGACACAGGAGACCTTGGCAGTGAAGCTCAGTGGAATGAAGGTGGAGTGCACAGCAGGGAATGAACGTATCTGGGCAGGCCTTCAGTCCCAGAATCCCAGGCCACACATACTTTCCTGGGGACACTTGGCTTCCCCTGGAGTATGGATTGTAAAAAAAAGACCTTGGGTAGGGGCAGAGGAGCCCCCCAGTGCATTCTAGAGCATACCTGGAGAGTCCTAGTTTGAGAGTGAGTTTGAGGGAAGGGAAAGCTCAGATCAGTGCTGTTGCTGAGAAGTGTGAGCATGGGAGTGGGGGGGTTGGGACCCCAGAAAAGCCAGCCCCAGGCAGCGTCTGTACTTGTCAGCTTGGGGCCAGCTTGGGGTTGGCCTGGCTTTAGGCCAATGGGGTGGGCATCCGTCCACTAGTCGCTTATGAAGCCACTGTTTATTGTCTACTGTGTGCCAGGTGCAGGTGTGGTATCATTTGGGGTCAGTGTGAGTTGGGAGGCTAATGAGGCCATTCCCAACAGAAGAACACAGCCTGTTTGTCGAGCACTTGCTTGGGTCTTGTGTTGTTGCTGTGTGTGGCGGATCTGGGGGGCACCGACATATGGTCCCTTCTCAAGATCCACAAGTAGATGGCAGAGTCAGAAGGTGGCACATGAGCACACAGAGGACTTCCTTGCCCCACCTGCAAAGGCTAGAAATAGGGAGCAGCTGAGGTAAGTGCAGCCTTGGCAAGCCCTTGGAGCCAGAAGGTTGCTTCCCAAATGGGAAACTGAGGCATTCACAGGGGATAGCTGTGGCTCTGGGGTAATGCCACCTGTAGCACTGAGACAGTGGGGTCAAGAATATCAGCGCAAGGCCACATGCCAGTGGCTCACGCCTGTAATCCTAGCAACTCAGGAGTCAGAAATCAGGAGGATGGCAGTTTGAAGCCAGCCCAGGCAAATAGTTCATGAGAAAAACACCCATCACAATTCAGGCCCAAGATGTTGGCCCTGAGTTCAAGCCCCAGTACCACAAAAAAAAAAAAAAAAAAAAAAAAAAAAGAATCCCAGCACAGGCCCTGCTGAGTGGCCCTCAAAAAACAGCAACACTGGTGAGCATGGTATCTCACACTTGTAATCCTAGCTACTCAGGAGATGGAAATCAGGAGGATTACAATTTGAAGTCAGCCCAGGCAAAAAGTTTGCAAGATCCCATCTCAACCAACAAAAGCTGGGCATGGTAGTGTCCACCTGACATCCCAGGTACATAGAAGGCATAAATAGGAGGTCACAGTTCAGGCTGGCCCCAGGATAAAGAAAAACCCTTTTAAAAATAATCAAAGAAAGCCGGGCACCGGTGGCTCACACCTGTAATCCTAGCTACTCAGGAGGCAGAGACCAGAAGGATCTCAGTTAAAGTCAGCCTAGGCAAATAGTTTGTGAGACCCTATCTGGAAAAAATCCATCACAAAAAAGGACTGGTGGAGTGGCTCACAATGTAGGCCCTGAGTTCAAACCCCAGTACCACAAAAAACAAAAACAAAGGAAAAAGGACTGGGGACATGGCTCAGTGGTAGAGCACCTGCCTAACAAGTGCAAGGGCTAGAGTTCAGCCCCCCATCGCTCAAAAAAAAAAAAAAAAAACCAGCAGCAACACTTCAACATGTCTGGGCCTTTTCTGGGCACTGCCTCTTATGGCCACCAAGTAAAACATGAGCAAGAACGTTGGGCATTGTGTCTGCTGACTATCCTGACCAATTAAGAGAATAAACAGGCGAAGCAGGCAGACCCTTGTGCCTGGGGGCAGCCCCAAGTGCTCAGCTCCCTTCTCAAGACAGGGCATTGAGGCCCCAAGAAGTAGACACTAGCCCAAGATCAGCCCAGAGCTGCTAAAGGAGTGGGCACCAGATTCCTTCTGTTTCCAGTTCAACACGTCGTTTTCTCTGGCAGGAGTCCTGGGTGCTATTCATCAACAGAAAAGCCATGAGCGAATTCTGCCACCAAGATTATTACTAGTTTCACAAAATCACCCTCTAAGTCCTGTAAGACTGAGAAGCTGGGAGGTTCCCGACTGCCACCACTCATTAGTAACTGATCTCAGTTTACCTTTTGGTCTCTCTGGTCTCCAGCCACTGCTCTGTGATGCTCAGTAACTGATGCTTGCCTCCCCAACATGTCTGCCAGCTATGTGGGGACAGGGGTTGCAGCACTGAGGGAGGAGGGGTGGAGGGGAAAGATGTGGCATGGCAAGACCAGACTCTATGGCTCTGGCCCTGGCAGGTCACTCACTGCACTGCTTTTCTTGAACAAAGCCAGGAGATGGTACTAGGCATCACACCACGCTATACCCTGTGCACAGAGCCCCATGCATGTTAGAAGTCTAAAAATAGGAATTAGACTGTCGGATGGTTCTGTGTTTTTAGCTGGTGTGGAGATAGGCTTAGAGAAGCATTCATCCAGGAGCTGCCCCTCTTGGTTTGCGTACACCTCCCGCGTGGGGGCTTCTTTTCTGGATGCTCTCTCCCTAGTGGTCAGAATGGACAGCGAAATCTTTGAAGCTGCCTGTTAGACTGAACTTTAGCATCCTTGTTTGGTTTTACCAGGAAGAACGTTCAGATCCAGTACAGATCAGATAAAAATGTTGACTCAGCCTCCCGGCCAAGGGCCACACCCTCTGCACCCTTGGTGGCTTCAACATTGACCTTCCTGCTCACCTCGGACTCCGGGAGAACCATTCTTCCTCCACCCTCGTTTGATAAGTGAGAAGGCAGCAGCAGAAAACCACAGGTACTGAAGTCCTGCGGTGCTCAAAGCACAGGACAGGCAGTTCCTGCAACGCGAACTGCACACCTGTGATCCCTGAGCCCAGATTGGAATACCCAGTTTCCCCCCGCAAAGGGCAGGGTCTGGGGGACCCTCCCAGGTATATTGAGAGGAACGGCTGGCTTCCCCGACACCTGCCAGGGTCTAAATGAAAAACCCCAGCTCGACCACGTGGGAGGGGCCGGGCGGCCATAGGTCCCACGCCCGCGGCCGCGGGACAGAGAACAGACACAGCGCCGTAGTTGCGCAGGCGCGCCAGGCCCCGCCCCCGAGCGCCGCGGCCCCGCCCCGCTGGGTTGCTAGGGGAAGTGACGTCACAGCGCGATGGCGGCGGCTCCTTTAGGCGGCTGAAGGGGGATTTAGGCCCGGAAGATCCGAGTCCATCCGCGGCGGGGAGAGGGCAAGCGGGGCCGGCAGGGGCCGGAGCAGTGGCGGCGGCGCTCGGACTGTCCCATCCGCCCCGTATTGAGGCGCTGGGAGCGGCGGGGCGGCCGGAAAGCGATGGTGAAAGCGGGGCCGTGAGGGGGGCGGAGCCGGAGCGGACCCGCAGTAGCGGCAGCAGCGGCGCCGCCTCCCGGAGCGCAGACCCAGGAAGCGGCCGGGCGGGCAGGAGCTAGCTGCACCGCCGCCATGGAGCTGAGGGTCGGGAACAGGTACCGGCTGGGCCGCAAGATCGGAAGCGGCTCCTTCGGAGACATCTATCTCGGTGAGGCCCGGCCGCCGTCCGCTCGAGCGCTCGGGAGCGGGGCGGGGTCGCCGGGAAGCCCGGGCCTGCGCGGGAGCCGCCGGGACCGCGCTCGGTGCCTTCGCAGCCCGCGGGCCGGGCCACCGGCCAGGACCGAAGATCAACGGCCACTCGGCGAACGCGGCCGGGGGGCTTGGGTGCGGTGGACCGGGGAGGGGGGGGAGGGCAGCGGGGCCCGGAGAGGGGCAGTGGGCCCGGGAGGGTGACCGGAGAGCCCCGGGAGTGGGGTAGCGAGGCCCGCAGGAAGGGTCTGCGGGGGGTCGGCGTGCCCAGCAGAGGGACAGCGGGGCCGGAGGGCAGCGAGGACGGCGGGCAGTGGGGCTTGGAGGAAGCAGTGGGACAGTTGGCTTTGGGGGCACGGTTGGGGGGGATGCTCCGACGGCCCCGGAGAGGGGCAGTAGGCCCTGGACAGCGGGCTTGGGCGGGGGCAGTGGGGCTGGGGGGAGGGGCAGCAGGCCGGGGGTGGGGCCCGGGAGGGGGCAGGGCCTGGGCCTCGGGGCCGGGCGTCAGCTTCCTCCCCCCACCTAAGGTCACCGCAGTAAACAAAGGCCATGCTCTCCTCTGCAGCCAGTCTGGTGCTGGCTGCCATCCTCCCCCAGCAGGCTGACCCTGCGTCTTGCACACGTGGGGGAAAATGTCAAAACAACCTGAATGCGGTATGGAGGTGGGGAGTGTCCCAGTCAAATGGGGGAAACGCAGTGCTGCGTTCTGAGGGTTCCTTGTGGCCGGCTGCTGCTCCCCTTTTCGTCGATGGCATCTCTAGTTAACTGATCCACTAGAGGGGCCTGCATGCCGCTCCTGGCTGCTACCTTAGTTCTGAACAGAAAGACTGAAAATACTCCCTTTGAGCTAGGACCATGCCTGGTCTTGGAGTGGTCATAGAGTGGGTACATGTTGAGCAGCTAAGTGAATATTCAGTCCCTGGAAATGAATAGGTGAATGAGACCGGAGTGTGTTAAAAGGTTGAGGAGAAAGTTTTCATGACTTTTGACTCTTAGGATTTGTCACATAGCTAGGGGTAGGATATGCACATACACACCTGTGTAATAAAAGGTTGGCTTAAATCTTCTGTTTGGAAATTTTAAATAAATTACTTTTTCTACATTTCTTAGTGGAATTATATTGTGCGTAAATTATTCCAGACCTCCTGAACTTGAGAGCTTGCAGCCTGACAGTCCAGTGTGCAGAGAGAGGGACCTTTGCCTAAGTTTGGGGGTAAACGTGTTTGTTGAGCAGGCCAGCTTATGCATTTGTTTGGCTGGCACATCTGTCAAGGGTCAGTCGTCAGCAGTGCCTCAGGCTTTGCTTTTCAGATGCAAGTTTGAGAGCTCCCATGTCCTTTTTGGGATAAAATGCCCTGTTGGGGTAACTCACAAGTACTTTGGTACTTTTTGGTGCCTGGTTCACATACAGGGTAGCCTCCGTGTGCCATGTCGATGCCTTTGAACCTGCCAAGTAAAATGTGTTTCAGAAACATTTAGGTTTTGCTATTTAAATATTTATAACTAAGTAGTCAGCCAATTGCCTTCCTGGCAGTGTTTTGGGAGGCAAAAGTGCTGGGTAAATGAAAGCTGTTTGATTTATTTATAGAAAAATAGATTTTGGCAAAAGTTTTAACTTTGGGATCCGGAAATTGGATTGAAAAGTCATTCCATTGGCCACCCTTTTGCAGGCCTCAAAAAGTAGGTATATTGCCTTAAAAAAAAACAAGAAAAGGCAGGCACCGGTGGCTCACACCTGTTTCTGTAATCCTAACTACTGAGGAGGCAGAGATCAGGAGGATCGTGGTTTGAAGCCAGTCTGGGCAAATAGTTCCGAGGGACTCTATTTTGAAAAAACCCTTCACAAAAAAAGGGCTGATGGAATGGTTCATGTGTACGCCCTGAGTTCAGTACTGCCAAAAAAAAAAAAAGGTATATTGAAACTTTTTCTTCTCTGCGACCTTTCCAAACAGCTTTGTGCTTTCCAAAGATTGGTTCCAATAATCAAATTGTAGTATGGTTGTCACATGTCATTCAGAGATGTAAATTCTCATGGATGATGCAGACTTTGTGGGGAGAGGAGGAGGGTGACAGTGCTTATTCGCTGTTGCATCCCTTGGACCTCACCTCATGCTGGGCACACAGTGGGCACTTGAACAGTTGGGCTAACCTCAGAATTCTATTCTGACTTCTCTGTGTGTTCTGAGATGGATTGCTGTAGCTCTGGGACCCTGGGATTGGAGTGCCCCCATAACACATTAGGGTATGCTTCTACTGGTGGTTGAACACCACCAGTGTTCTTCCATCATCATTGGCTCTTGGCCTACATTGCTGTCCTTTCTAGCCTCCTCACTGAGGAACTGAAACACAAAATGGTTCTGTTAGCTTTAAGTAAGACAGGCTAGAAAGGCAGGTTCTGGGGTTGGGGACTGATCTGAAGACTATGGGATAGATTGACTCAGTCATACCGTAGTTTTCTATCATTGTTTTGGGCAGCCAGTTAAACATAAGTTGAGGAATTGGGTCCTTATCTGGAAGTCTGCATAACAAACATTCTACTGTGACTGTCTCCACTTTGGTATTTCAAATAAAGCCCTTCACTCTTAGACTGGGACTTGCCTTGTTTTGCACTCGGGGTTTTGGATTTTTACCTTGGACATTCTATACTTCGAGATGTGTGAAACTTGGGGCATGGGAAGGCTGTCCTTCTGTTCATGGCACCTTATGGACTAAGACAGCCGTTGCCTGTTGATTTGCCTGCTCTGGTAGCCTGCTGTGCTCACAGAAAGAAGGGCTACTAGATTAGCGTTTCCTCAAAATTGTCCCTTCAAAGGGGAGCAGCATTGTTGGGCTATCTCTTAAATGTCAGGTTTCAGAAAGTCCAATTTCAGTCTTACGATACTATTTTTGAGGCAGTGGAAACCAGAAAACCTTTCACTTTTGCCGTCAGTATGCCACTTAAGCGTGATAATATTTTAGAACAGCCAGTTCTCTTGATGTGGACCGTGTTGACCCAGCTCAGTGGAACACAGGTAGGTATCTCAGGGAAGGGTTGTGTAGGATGGGCTAAGCTGGAAGCCAGGTTGGTGGTGTGGTAAGTGGAGCTCTGTTCTTCTAGGCAGTGTGGATGGAGTGCCTACCAGGTGCTGAGCTCAGGAGAGGCAGGGTAAGCACTGCATCTTTGATCTCTGCTTTCATCCTTATTTGTCTTCTGGAAGCAAGGGCTGGGGTCTAAGGACCCGATAGGTAGAATGACAGCTTCTTGTGTACTGTTGGCACTCCAGTTTCTCAGAGCCTCACCTGTCCATCTCTTACCTGTGTGGATAGCACAGCTGGACTTTATCATGTGCTTATGCATTCTTTGAGAACTAAACCTTCCTAACCTCTTCATCTCTGGTTTTCACCCCTCACTGTCTTGATATCTCCTGAGAGGGAATGTGCAGGGTGTCTGGCACACAGTAGAGCTTCTGGATCTTAGCTGGCCATGAGAGCAGAGCTGCCACCTCCTCTCACTGCACCTTCCAGAACGCTTAGAGCCATGGCTCCCTCTACCTTGGAATTGTGCTGTACCTGGAGCTTTTCTAATGAGTAGTCTCAATGCTGCTCCACACAACCCTTCCATCAGTTGGCTTGTGAGATAACCTTTGCCCTGCTGTTCCAAGGCAGCTCGCTATTTCCTTGTTGACCAAACAGCCTTAAGTGGGAATTACCAGCATTTAGACTGGTCATTCAAAGTACCCTTCCTGTCTCAATATAGGGTCACACCTGGGTTAGGTTCACAAAATTCACTAGTTGCTTTTTTGTCTCCTCCACTGAAGGAACATAATTTTGTTTTTCTAGAACTCGCATTATCCTGTGTCAAAACACAGGCCAACATTGGTGCCTAACAAAGGAGCCCTATCAGCAGACCAGGATTGTTGAACTGCACAAAAACATTGAGGTTGTTCAGGTGATAAATGTCCTTAGTATAAACAGACATCCTGAGTAAGCATTTTGACTTGTTCTGTTACCCAGAGCTCAGTGGCATTTTTTTAAACACTCAATTCCCTTCTTGGACTTATCTATGGCACAGGACCACGTTTTGTAATTTCCCAAACTATTGCAGTCCACAACTTTTATTAAATAAGATTAAAATATTGCAGGGATGCTAAACTGCTATTAGCATTCCATGGTGCTTCCTTGTCCTGTGTTTGTCCTGTGGTGGATTGGTGGCAGTGTGAGGATTAGACTTTGAGTTGCATTGCTAGGAGGGCTGGGGAGGTAGACTAGAACTACAGATCTACAGACCTGGTCTGCATTGGTATCAGGATGCACAGAACTTGCTGCTTGGTCTTTTCTACACGGTAAGTAGGAAAGGTCTCCCTGGAGGAGACCTGGGAGTGTGTGCTACCCTCACATGCTTGTAGAGCCTATGTCCAGCCACTCCTCTCCAGCTGGTCATCAGACTTGCTGCAACATTCCTATCTGGTCCTGTAGATAGCATATGGCCTTGGTGCCGTGAAAGGATGTAATTCATACTGTGTTCTAGAGTTGCCAGTGGTCATTTTGTCCCCAAGACTGTTATTATTGCAGGGCTGACTGTCAGACGTAAGCTTTACCAGCCACAGAAGAGTGGAGCTTGAGTTGTCCTCAACCTTCCTGAAGATCCTGGTCTAGTAGGCTGGTTGGCCCCAGATTGTCCTGTCACTGTGGACCTGCCAGCTGGCAAGGGTGGTGGTGCTGTATTGGGGTGCAGGGAGTCACTGATGTAACTAGTGAGATGAGTCACTATCCCTCCCAGCTGGTGAGTTCAAGTCCTTAAAGGAACTCAGAGGTCATTTTTCATCTGCAAGTACATTTCAGATGAAGTCATTTCTCTTGTAATTGGATAGATTGTCCTGGCTGTAGGCAGGAAGAATAAGATGTATTACCTGTCTTTTCACTGCCCCAAATAGTCTTTGTTGAATGGTAAGTGAAGTTCTTAAGTCTAGAATGTTCACTGGCAGGATCAGATGTGGTTATTCCTATGGATCTGCAGCACTGGCAGTGCAGTTTGAGCCCATGTTTGCTTGGTATAACTGAGCAGACCAAAATGACTGTTCAGTGGTTCTTGGATTCTCACTGGACAGTGTGGGTTGGGTTGTCCTGATGCTTGTTGGCCTTGCTCCACTTTTCACCTGGGACCCAAAAGTGCTGTGTGATTGTTAACCTATTTGTTTCCTCAGCTGTCTGTGAAATGCATGGCAGATCCCTACCCCCAGCTTGATCGATAAAAGTGACTTCACCAAAGGCTAGCCTCAGTAAAAAGTCTCCCATGGTCTGCCCTTGTTAATTCCTTTTTAAATAACCACACTCCTGGGACAGATGGAAGTGTTTTCTGCTCAGGACCTCAGGATGCTGTGAAGGGAGAGGAGGACTAGGCATGCAGCATGAGACTTGGTTTCTGTTCTCAAAGCTCTTGGAAGCATCATGTTATAAGGAGGGGGACTTTGAACCAGGGGTGGACTTGGGAGCACATTTTTACTTTTTTTGTTTTTGTTTTGAGGTACTGGGGCTTGAACTCATGTCCTTCACCCTGAGCCACTCCACCTATTTTTATGAAGGGTTTTTCAAGATAAGGTCTTGTGAACTATTTGCCCAGGCTGGCTTCAAACCGTGATCCTCCTGATCTCTGCCTCCTAAGTAGCTAGGATTACAGGCATTGAGCCACCAGCACCCGGCTTTTTTTTTTTTTTTTTTTGAGATAGGATCTTACTACCCTAGGTAGCCCAGGAGACTGAACCTTGATCTTCCTGCCTCTACCTCTTGAGTGTTGGGATTACAGGTGTACGCCACCATGCCTGGCCCAGGAGAAAGTAAAATTTGTTATTTTGCCTCCATACTCACAAACTAGTCATCATGGTATTCGCCAGAAACAAAATTATGTGCCCAGTGTGTGTTTTGTAGGCAGTGTCAGTGGGGCCTTGAGAAGAGAGTCTGTTCTTCTGGTGTAATGTCCTCAGTAAGCAAAGAGGGGTATCCCTGGGCCTGCTTGAGGGTCTTTGAGGCCTGTGATGGTTGGGTTGGAGATAACTCATACATTGTGTGGGAACTGAAACCACCTGAGAACTGCCGGACTTGAGATGCACATGGGTGGATGATGCACATGACTGGACTGAGACTGGGAGGGAGGAGGTGGATGGTAAAAACCCAGCCTTCCTCATAGAGGGGGAGTCAGACAACTCCCAAAGGCCTATCAAGGCAGCACAGAGAAACAGCCTGGAACTCCACCATGGTGTGCCTTGGGTAGGTGAGTGCTGGGGCCAACTGAAAGACTCAGGGCAGAAAGGATGGGGCCTGTGGCTGTGGTGACTGGCTGGAGTGGGTACAGGTGGAAGCAAGTGATGAAATAGCAAATAGACTTTCCTGTACATTTTTAATAAGGATAACTTTCCACAGAAAATTCCAACTAGTGCTTGTCAGGGCTGGGGATGTAGCTCAGTGGTAGAGTCTAGTATGTACAAGCCCCTGGGTCCAATCCCCAGCACCTCTACTACCACCACCCCCACCTCCAAAAGAAAAAAATCCATAAGGGATGTCAAATAGTGTTCATCCTTTCTGCAATGAGCCATAATGTTGGGTTATGTTGAATAGTTAATTTTCTGGTTTTCTTTCTTTGCCAAGGTACGGACATTGCTGCAGGAGAAGAAGTTGCCATCAAGCTTGAATGTGTCAAAACCAAACATCCTCAGCTCCACATTGAGAGCAAAATCTACAAAATGATGCAGGGAGGAGGTATGTTCTTTACCTGATGGAATTGTTTTGTGTGACAAGGGAGAAAGTGTACAAATTAAAGTTTCTGGTTCATTTTTGGAGTTTAGGGGGAGGAAAGATGTCCGTCCACACCCTTGACCAAGTTGTGGCTTTATGCAGAGACTGGCTTAGATACAGAAGGCCTCACTCAACAAAAAGAAGCACAGCCTTAGGCTTTTTGCTTAAATAGTGCCTTCCTTAGCATCCCCTTAGGTAATAATGTCTTTCAAGTTCAAGATTTGTGTGAATTTCAGAATAAACACATTGGGGCTGGCAGTGATTCAAGTGCCTCCCTAGCAAGAGTGAGGCCCAAGTTCAAACACCATTGCTGCCCACCCCCCCCCCCCAAAAAAAAATTCTCTCAAACAGATCTACTTATTATGGCACATGCCACCTGTGATGGCGTGTCACACCGTAGGGTCATCCTGAGGTGTGGTCCCTGAGTATGTTCTCTGCTGGGTCACACACTTTCCTTACAGCTTTGGGGTGCACCTTCAAACTCTCCTGGGTTCTGGTTTTCTCTTGGATAATGCAGAAGCTTTGAACTCAGCAGCCTCTGTGACCTCTTCCAGCTCAGTCACCATTTCAGTTGAGTTAACTTGCCCCAAGACTTGGAGTACCTAAAGTCAGATGTGCAAACAGAGCTCCTATCTTAGCGTTCTCTGAACTTTAAAATAATTGGACTAATGGAGCAGGAGAGAATTTCATTTGGAAATATTAGAGCTGTGAAGACATAACAGCATTGTGAAGGATGAGTTTCACCAACAGAAATTTGAAGGCCCAGCCTTGACCCAAGTGTGGGAGCCTACTTTTGAACAGGCTTTGTTCTTGAAGAACGGCTGTGCCCTGTGCTCTGTGCAGACCCTTCTGTCAGAAGATGCCATGGTGCTGTCATAGTTGGAAGGATGGAGGGGAACCCTTCACTCTTTCTGCATTGTTTTTATTGGCACTTTTTTTTTTTTTTCCCAGTGGCCGGGAGGGAGGGAGGTATTGGTTTGACTTTTTGATGTCTTCTCTCACTCAGCAAAAGCAATTTAATCTGTGGTACTACTAGAAACTCACATTTCTGTAACAAAACGTCTTTGGCAGCAGATACATCTCAGAGCACAAATGGTCCTGCGTGTCCATCTTAGACAGTGGTTTCCAGTGTGCTCCATCCTGGGCCTGAGACCAGAGAGACCATGGGGATACAAACTCTCTGGTGACCCCATACACATACTGTTGTTCCTAAGAGCGGTCGGTCAGCAGAGACCAGTCCCACATGCCTGCAGTCTCATGGCCCTCAGTAAGACATGTTTCTCAGAGCACTGGGGGCTAATAGTCTACATAGCTTTTAAGATTGTGGCATTAGAGTATAGGACCAAATGACTCAGGATTAAGCAGTGTGCTAAGGAGTAAAGTTTCTACAAGGACTGGGGTACCTGAGCAGAAAGGGAAGAAAAGCAGCTCCTCAGAGCCCAGAATGGACACTGATGAAGCAGTCAAACATTGGCTAGAAAGGAATGTGTTGGGTTCAGAACAAATCTGTCAACCCCAGCACCACTGCTGTTTTTTGTGGATATCATTCATTGCTTTGCTGGCTAAAGAACAGAACCCCAGTTATGTTCAGGGCTTTCTCTTACCAGTGTTTTTTATGCTGTTCCCCAGACTTGGGTTGGGTTTTACTCCTTTTGTGGATACCTCAAAGTAAAGGGATAATTTAGGAAACACTTTGTTTCCAGGAAAGAAGGGTATGAAATTCTGGCAGTTGTTCATTGAATACATTCCAGCAGATACAGGACAGGGGAGTTCACTTTGTCTGAAACCCAGGTTTTGCTGTCATCCATCCTTTTGCCATGTATCTCCTGTATGTAGGTGGATGTGAATTGTTTTTGCATTCTTCTGAAAGGGACAGCAAACACCTCTGGTTGTCCTGATATTGCTTATGGTGGTCGTCTTAGGCTACCAGGAGAGAAAACACAGAGCTGAGTGGTTGTTGCTTGTTGTAGCCTGGGAATCATCCAGGAAACTTGTAGGTGCTGATGGTGTCACAGTGTCTGGCTGCAGATCTGCTGTACTTGGACTGTCTACACACCTACCTGAGGGAAGAGCCAGCCTTAGGGAACCATGCAGTTCCTGTGTTGTAAGGTGCTGGCATCTTTAGCCCTGTACTATGAGTGAGGAAATAGGTACAGTTTTTGTCCTTTGGGTGACTTCCCAAAGGACAAATGTTTTGCCCTGTGGCACTCAGCCTCAGGGTATGCCCAGGTACTTCCACCCATCCAAAATCTGGTCAGGACAATAGGTTAAATAAAAGCTAAAATAGAAATGAACTAGAGTTACTTACGTTGGTGAAAGACTTGAAGACAGCAAGTTTTTATCTACAATGCACGCTACTGTATAAGACCTGGAGATCACCATAATTGCAGTCCAATCCTAACATGCTCCAAAGTAGCTTTATATTATTCCCTTCCTCCACAGTCCCTCAGCAGAGAACATTTATTGAATTCACAGCTGCTTCTGGTCAAGACTAACATGGCTGGTTTGGGTTACAGGAGGTTATATAGAACGTGGGGAATGGAAGATGATGTTGTTGTTTGAGACAGGGTCTCACTATGTAGCCTGTGCTGGCCTGGAACTCTGGGTCCTCCTGCCTCAGCCTCCTGAGTAATGGGATTCTGAGCATGCACTGCCATACCCAGAACATAATCTTTCTGTTGTGAACTATTTTATGTCAGAGAACCATGTGTGACATGTAAAATATCTTGAGTGTTAGAGCAGGTGACCATGATCCCTCACCTCCTTGAGAAAGACCCCAACTCCTTTGTGGAGTCCAGTTTGTTTCCACTGGCCCTTTACCATTTCTGTTTTCCAGGAGAATTGGGAGTGAGGGTTGTTTTGTGGTGTTTGAATCAAATCCAGAACCTAGCCCATGTTAGACAAACGCCTTACCACTGAGCTATAATATCTGAGTTTCAATATCTAAACAGTGGCATTGTCCAGAAACATTTGACAGGTTTAATGATTTAAAAGCTGAATTGCTGGAAAGTTAATGAACTTTTTTTTACTTGAATTAATGCTGAGTCCCTACATTTACATTGAAACAACCCTGCCCCCAGTTTTTCACCCCGATACGTGCCTTGGGCCCCATGAAGGTAATGCATCCATGTTCACAACTACAAATGGCAGTAGCTACCCCCAAGTCATGGTTGTCTCTCCTTTAATCCACTGGCTTCGATTGTTCCTGCAAAAACATGAGAAACAACACTTCTCAGGCACAGATCCGCTTTGGATTCCAGATTTTGTTGATATGAGATGTTTGGTTTCACAGAGTGACAGTTATCAGCCTGTAGCTAGAAGGTTCTTCACCCTGCATTAGCAGGAGCATTCTTAAATTCCTGTCAAAATCCAGCAGTTTTTCCTGTAGAACAAGAAGACTAGAATTCAGAGAGAAGAGTAGTGAAAGGCCAAGATTAATAATAACACTCCCAAAGAAGAGGTATTTGCCCTATAGATACCATATCTTGCTGTATGTAGAGCTGTCCTGATTAAAGCAGTGTCATTCTGGATACAGGGCCTAGAAGTAGTGACAAGCCTGGGCCTCTTATGGTTTCTTGGTGCCCTACCCCACCAAGAAGCCCAGACTGCTTGGAAAAGTAGCTGATTCTAAGGCTGGAGCAGATAGGGCTCAGGAGAGGTTGGAATGTGTGGCTGGCCCACGTCAGGAGCATAAGAGAACATGCTTGAAGAGCCTTTTGGCCAGCTTTAGAATGAGTGGTGGCAGGGATGCATTAAAACTTGTTGGAGAGAGAGGGACCACTGGTGAGTCAACAGTGCTGTTTGTGTAGAGAAACAGTTATTCTCCACAGAAGATTACACTAACAAGTTCTGCTATTCCCAGTGCTTTTCATTGCTGGGTGTAGGTTTGGACTTCAGTTGGCCCTGCTCTCCTCTGAGGAAGAGTTCCTTTACACACTAACTGTACAGACTACTAGGAATGGAGCACCACGCAGTGTGGATAGTTTGACTGTTGTGTGCTAGTATGGTTTTTCTTCGTGGCTCTTGTGTTTGGCCTTCACTGAGCAAGCTCCATGTGGGCTGGTCTATTGTCGTATGTCCCCTTGTGCTCTTCCTCCTCTTCAGATGCCCTGAATTTGCCCCAAAGCTCACTGAGGCCCTTGTCTGTCTCTCTATGCCTTTGAGTTCATGTGTCTTTGCAGTACCTGATCTCTGATTAATTCCATTGTGTTCGGTCTCTGCGTTAGATTTGGTTTGATTTTAATATTTCTCCTGCCTTTAACTTTCTTGGCATGTTATTCAGTTATATTTTATTATAACTTTTCATGCTTGATTGTTTGATTTCTTACTGTGTTGTGTTTTTTGCTCTTTGCACATCTAGTAACTTTTGGGTGCCAGGCATTGAGAATCTTACCCTCTTGTGTGCTGGGTGTTTTTATATTGCTCAGATTCTTTCTCAGCTGTGGTCTGGGATGAAGTCAAATTAAGTTGGTCTGTTTGGTTTTTGCTTTGTAGTAACACTTGGGCGTGTCCTAGGGTCAGGAGCATCTTTCAGGTACCAGTGTCATCTGCCTGTCATCCATGTTGCATTATTTTGTTTTCTTTCAACTGGGGGGGGGGGTAGATTGAGTCCCTGTTATCTTCATCTCTGCTGAAAGTAGAAGTGACGTCTACATTTTACAAGAAAATAATAGGATCTTTTTCAGCTTAAGATTAGAAAGAATTTCTTTGAGTAAGTCACTGAAAGCATGCAAGCATGATGGTGCACACCCATAATCCCAGCACTCGGGAGGCTGAGGCAGGCACTCCAGGCCATTGTGGGCTACATAATGGATCCTGGCGCAAAACAAACAAACAAAAAGACTCTGAAAGCATTACTCATTGAGGAAAAACTGATACATTGGTCTTTTTTGAAATTAAGCATTTTGCCAGTTTAGAGGAGGCAGAAATTGGATTAATTTGAGGTCAGCCTGAGCAAAAAAAAATTAGCAAGACCCCATCTCAACAGAATAAGTCAGCATGGTGGTTCATGCCTATGGTCCTGACTCTGTGGGAGCCATAGGTAGGAAGATCATGGTCTGAGGCTGACCCCAAGGAAAAATAGACTTGATCCAAAAAATAACTAAAGCAAATGAATGCACACCTGTAATCCTAGCTACTTGGAAGACTGAGATCGGGAGGACGAAGGATCAAGGCCATCCCTGGCAAAAAGTACACAAGACCCCCATCTCCAAAATAACCAAAGCAAATGGACTGGAGGAGTAGCTCAAGTGGTAGAGTGCCTGCCTAGCAAGAACGTGGCCCTGAGTTCAAACCCCAGTCCCACCATAAAGCTCTTCATCAAGAAATTTTTTTAAAAGAAAATTTAAAAATTATATCAGTCAAGAGAAAATGTTTGCCTTGAATAAAACCAGAATTAGTATCCAGAATTTATAAAGAGTGCTGTAATAGGTGATACCATGATAGGAAAAACTGGCAAGCAGTATGATTAGGTGTCCAGGAGTGCTCAGTATGAGGGTGTCCAGTAGCAAGGCCTTGCTCATTGCTGCTGGCAATGTCAGTTGCTTTATCCATCTTAAAAAGCAACTTGACACTATCTTGTTTATCTTATGTAGTCAAATAATTGGTACCTTACAATATAGCAAATGCATTTCTAGGTGTCTACCTGGAAGAAGAAGAAAAAAGTTATGAAAGAGAATCTTAAGTGTAAGAGTTTTCACTTTAGACATGTAAGAATGTGTTAACAGCATCATTTATTTAATTTAAAAAAATAAACCTAAGCCATCCAAATGATAGGTGGCTAGAGAGATTATGCAGTGCTGTATGAAGGAATGTTAAACAGCACACGTGCTTAGTTTTCTTATAGCAAAGAAGTGATGAAGAGGTATGTGTGGGTGGTGGTTACCTGCAGAGCACAGATGAAATGAGCAAGTGGTGTATAGATGTTACTGTTAGGAATGTTCCAGGTCTCTTTGGGTTGTGGGTCTAGTTACATTGTGCATTGTAACTTACACATTGGTCACATGTGTTCTCATGTAAAGTGTAAAAACTCTTCAGGAAATGAAGCTCTTTTTTTAAGTAACAATGATAGCAGAATTTATTAGTAAAGGAGTATATTTACAATAGACCTGAAAGCGAGTCATGTTACAGTGATAGCGACTGAAGCTAATTTTTAAATAGGAGGATTTCCCTGTTGACACTGTGAAGCCCCACCAAAAGCTTCACTGTCTAGCATGAAAGGTCTAGAGTGGAAGGCATGTGTAGTGAGAGCCAGTGCTAGGAGAACATGTGCCCTGCAGACAGAGGGGACCACAGAACAAAACCTGGGCAGGTTTTTGAGAAGCTGACCTCTTCTTGAACAAGGCTACATGCACATTCTTGTCTCAACTTAAGGAGCATGTGCTCCCAGCTCCCCTGAGTGACTTCTTGTGACTGTTGACTATTCATATGCATTCTCTATCGAAGTGTCTGATATCTTTCACCCATTTTTCAAGAATGGATTGATACGTAGCTTCAGGGTTTGAAGGCGTCTTTAAATTCCTTCCCTTGTGTGGGGCCCTGGATTGTTTCTTACTGTTGGATTTATCTGTCGTCTTCATTCTCACTTCCACCGATTGGTTTGTTTACAGCCTCTTTGTCCCTATACAAATTCCCAAGAAGTTTATATCGCAAAAAAAAAAAAAAAATGCACAGCTTTTTTCTCTCCTACCCACTAATAGTATCTATCTTTGTCTTCTGTTTCTCAGCCTTATATTCCAGTCTCTCTCCACTGTAGCTGTAATTTCTGACTGACCCTGCTGGTTCTGTCTACCTGGGCTGTATTTTACTCTGCGTGCTTTCTCTTTCTTGTGTTCTGCACTTCCTGCCTTTGGAGGCCAGTGTTAGGAAATCAGCTCAAATCCTGTCTCACTTCCTACTGCTGCTCAACCCTTGTCAGAGTCTGCTACACATTGTTTATTAACATGTGGCCTTAATCTCAGCTATGGGTTTTTGAGGGCAGGCATCCTCAGGGTGTTCTGATCTCCAAGCCCTACTCCACTGGATGCCTATGTCACATTGAGTAGAGGTGAGCTGATACAGTGGCCTCCGCTTGAAATGCTCTGTTTGGTTTCTCATTCAGTGGGCATCCCTACCATTAGATGGTGCGGGGCCGAGGGAGACTACAATGTCATGGTGATGGAGCTGCTGGGACCAAGCCTAGAAGACCTCTTCAACTTCTGCTCGAGGAAGTTCAGTCTCAAAACTGTTCTGCTGCTGGCTGACCAAATGGTAAGTGCCCCTTTACCTTAAGTGGCCAGGCAGCATGGATGCTTGGCACTGGCTTGCTGGCCTGATACAATAAATTACACAATTGCCATTTTTTCTGCTATTGGCCTGTTCATGTGCAGAGAGAAAGAGAGAATTTGTGTAACTTCAAGATAATTACACAGGTGACTGGTTTGGAGGCCTGCCCTCAGCATCTTGAGTACATTCACATTAAAGAGCCTTTCTAGTCTCTTAGGAAGTACACATTTGATTCCTAGCAGCTCTGGTGTGGTTTCTGAGAAAATTCTTAGGTGCAGCTCAAGCAGAGAATCTGGCTGTGCAGACATACATTGTCTAGTAACAGGCAGTCCCTCAATCTGCTCTTGTCTATCCCTATGGCTGCCAAGGAGAGGAAATGCCCAGTCCTGTGGAGGCCAGAGAGCTGGAGGTAATTTGGGAGATGACTTCTGGTCAGTTTGGTTTCCCCTTCCTAGTGAAACCACTCTGCTCTGGCTGAAGAACAGAGAACGTACAGCTTATCCTCAATGCCAAGCAGCCTCTTTTCCTAAGGCATGGTGTTCTGGGATTCAGTCTCTTGCCTTTGCCTCTCTGCTTCTAGATTAGTCGTATTGAGTACATTCACTCGAAGAACTTCATCCACCGAGATGTGAAGCCAGATAACTTCCTCATGGGGCTGGGGAAGAAAGGAAACCTGGTCTACATCATTGACTTTGGGCTGGCCAAGAAGTACCGGGATGCCCGCACACACCAGCACATCCCCTACCGAGAGAACAAGAACCTCACAGGGACGGCGCGCTATGCCTCCATCAACACACACCTTGGAATTGGTAAGCCAATTCCAAACATGCCTTTGGGCATGTCCATCCCTCAGCTTAGGAAAAGGCCTCTCAGGTGGCCTAGGGGTCATGAGCAGGCTTGGTGCTCAGAACCCTGGAAACCATCAGTCAATCTTTGTAGCAGATAGGATGACTGCAGCAAATTCTGGAGCCTTCTATTGGCAGGTGTGGTGGAGCATGCAGAAGCTAGCTCTTAACAGTTCTCTGAGCCATTGATGTTGTTCCTTTGGGATCTTTGACACTTCCCTTAATAGCATGAGGGGCAGATTCTGGTTGAAGTGGTCACCCAAGTGTAGTTTTCTGTTTTTAACGTTCATTTCCATAATCATGTTTGCTATATCTTGGTTTTATATATGTACATGTGTGCGATTCTTCACATAGTTCCCTTTTCTTTCCAGAACAATCTCGGAGGGACGACTTGGAATCTCTGGGGTACGTGCTGATGTACTTCAACCTGGGCTCTCTCCCCTGGCAGGGGCTGAAGGCTGCCACCAAGAGGCAGAAGTACGAGAGGATCAGTGAGAAGAAGATGTCTACTCCCATTGAAGTGCTGTGCAAAGGCTATCCCTGTGAGTGCCTGCTGTCCTCTTGCTGCAGAACTTGCTGTCCACACTGGTGCTGGCTGCCCTGGTGTTAACTGGATGCCTTGGAGATGCTCTGCCTGTGCTTTCTGTCACCTACAAGAAATGTTGGCAGGAAAGGGACATTTTTGTGTATGGAGGTGATAGTCAGCCCTCTGTTCTTTCTGATGCAGTCCTGAGCCTCTGGAAGGAGCTCTGTGAGGCCCATGAGAGACAGGAATGAGGCGGGGCTGAGCCTCAGGAGAGATCCACATGGTTAGAAAGATACAACTGACCTGTGCTCTGTGGTGTTGACTTTGTTAATTTTTATTTTATTTATTTTGGACAGCACTGGGAATTGAGCCCTGGGTCTTAAGCATGCTACATAAGCACTCTAGCACTAAGGCACACCTTCTTCCCCTAGCCCCTTGATGTTGAATTTAAAAAAAAAAAACTGTTTCCCAAGGCCTGGACTCTTAAGAATATAACTAGTATTTCAGCTTTGGGAGGTAAATGGGGAATCTTAGCAGACACTCTTGTAATAGCTAGTTAGCTTTGAGTTTCTTATTTTATAGCTGAATTTGCCACATACCTGAATTTCTGCCGTTCCTTGCGTTTTGACGACAAACCTGACTACTCCTACCTGAGACAGCTCTTCAGGAATCTGTTTCATCGCCAGGGCTTCTCCTATGACTATGTGTTCGACTGGAACATGCTCAAATTTGTAAGTGCCATTGCCAGCTCGGTCTGTCTTACAGTGCAGGATGGTAACAGCATGGTCTTCAAGAAGCTGGCACATCTGGACTGGGTCTTGTACACAGAGTTAGGCTGTGCCAGGGTAAGGGTGCATTTTCTGAGCTGTGAAAGCACAGCACAGCTGGTTGGGCTTTAGCCTCTATGGGTATTTGCCTGTGGGCATAGAGTTCTGAGAAGGGAAGAGTCCTACAATCAAAGAGGCCTGTGGAGTTTGCAGGTGTGAACATGGGAGGCCCTGAAGTGAAGCCAGGGTACCAGTACTTGTGGATTGCCAGGTCCTCTTAGTTGGGCAAGTCTTTTTCCTTAATGTTTGACTTTCAGGAATTAAAGCTAGTAAGGGGATTTGTTTTGTTTTGTTTTAATTTATTTTTTGAGACAGAGTTTCACTATGTCGCTCAGGCTAGTCTTGAACTCTGGGGCTCAAATGATCTGCCTGCTTCAGCCTCCCAAGTGCTGGGACTATAAGCGTGAACCACTGAACCGAGCTTGAAAGGTCATTCTGTTGTTAATAATTACCATCACCAGTTCTAAGAGCTTTGTGGGTTCAGTTGCTTGTGATAATGGGGCATGATGCCTACCATAGTACACTGACATAAAGCCTGGACCTGCCCCTTCCTCTTTCCCAGCCCCACCTGGATCCAGAATGTACCTCAGGGGGCCTCAGGGCAGCCTGCTAGATGAGCAACCTGGCATTCAGTCTGAGTTTTACCCTATAATAGGTTGCTTTTACATTTGGTTTTCTCTTCACCAAAGGTGCATGCAAGAATCCACAGGTGAATGAACAAGGAGGCCCTAGAGCCTCTGGGCCATCATCCCTGTGTCGGCTGTATGCATTTTTTAAAGCATTCAGACACTGCTACCAGAATTCAAGCTTCTGTGGAATTTTCATTTTCATGTCTGTTCTCATTAGAAATTTGTTATTTAAGCCAGGTGTGATGGCACACTACTATAATGGCCAGCACTCCAGAGGCTGATTGAGTTCAAGGCCAGTCTTGGCTACATTTTGAGACTTTAGCTCAAAAAAAATTTTTTTTTTTTTTAATTTGAGATAGAAGTTAAAACGTTTGCAGGTGATACAGTCTACTGGTAGAAGATCAGAGCTACTTCCTTGGGGTGTAAGCCAGAAGTCTTGTCCGATATCTGTGCCTCATGGCCAGCTTGTGGAGGGCATAAACTAGAGCTGTATGCCCCAGCATAGGGCTGCTCCGTGTATACCCAGGCTAGCCTTGGACTGGAAAGAGAGCACTGTGCAGGGTGGGGTGGAAGTTAAAAGTATAGCGTTAAGCAGTTTCTGTGGACTGTCCAGTGCCTGGACATCAGAGTACCTTCCCCCAGCATGATTCTAACACTGACCAACTCTCATAATAGACCAGCAGACTTGCTCTAAAAAAGGCCAAGTAGTACATATTGTCAGCTCTGCTGGCTGTGTTGAGTTGCAGTCCCTCAGCTCTGCCATGTAGCTGAAAAGTAGCCACTCACCTATGAGTGAACAAGATTGAATCCAATAAAACAGGTGGCATCAGGACTTAACCATGGACCATGGTTTGCAGACCCCTGCATTGATGATTAGAATAAAACTTTTAGGCTGACTAGTGTCTCAGCTTAACTGCTTAAGATCAAATGCCCCATGTGTCAGGGTTGACCCAGCACACCTGGCTACCAGCCCTGACATTGGCCTTTGTGTACATGGTGTGGCTGACATTACCATGACACCACATTCCCCTCAGGCCTAGGGTCTGGACTCTGGTTGGACACCTCTGGTTCAGTGCTGCTGCCCCTACCCTACTGTCTGTCCATCACCCTCCCACACTCCCCATCCCCTCCTCATTTCTGGCCCCTGGCAGTCTCCTCCACCATAGCAGATGAACTATTTAGTAAGAGTTCCAGGCAGGAGCGAGACTTCCTCTCAGATGTTGGGAAATAAAAGGAGTAGCTGCTGCCCTCGTGAGTATATTCCCCTATCTTTGTATGGAGACATGTCTTTTGACTCATTGTGCTGCTGTGGATGGCTCAGTCTTGTCCCAAATGCCCCTTGGTGTTTCCTCAAGGTTCCAGGGGACAGCTAATGGTCTTCAGTTGCTTTTTACCACACCCAGTTTCCTTCTGTTCTGTTCTCAGGGTGCCAGCCGGGCTGCAGATGATGCTGAGCGGGAACGCCGGGACCGAGAGGAGCGATTGAGACACTCCCGAAATCCAGCCACCCGTGGCCTCCCTTCCACAGCCTCGGGCCGCCTGCGGGGGACCCAGGAAGTGGCTCCCCCAACACCCCTCACCCCTACCTCACACACAGGTGAGCATATCTCCCAGTATGCCTTGGAGTGGACACTGGGACATCTCTCTGTTTCATCTTTTGGGGGTTCTGGGCCAGGTGCACTTGATGGCTGGGGCACAGCCCACAGTGGCACATTTAGAAATGTCCCATTTGCAGGACTTGGTCTATTAAGGACTGAATTCCCTAAAAGCTGTTACTAGTATTAGTGATTTTCTATGTAGTATTTTGTTCTCATAATACAAGGTGTTCCTGTGGTATTTGGACACCTGAGTTGTTTGGTGTGATGCTGGGATTGAACCTAGGGCCCCTCCTCAAACATGCTAGGCAAGTGCTCTACCACTGAGCCACATTTCCACCCACTGGCCATTGGTCACTGCTGCACCTGCAGGCTAGTGAGATGTCTAAGCAGCCAGAGGTCCTTGGTCACCATGGCTTCTTTGTTCTAGCCAACACCTCTCCTCGGCCCGTCTCTGGCATGGAACGAGAGCGGAAAGTGAGCATGCGGCTGCATCGTGGGGCCCCAGTCAATGTTTCCTCATCTGATCTCACAGGCCGACAAGATACCTCTCGCATGTCCACCTCACAGGTATGCACTTGAAGCTCACATAGGCCCAGATGAGCCAGGCCTAGGTACGAGGGCATGTGCCTGTGTGTGAGCGCCAAGCTTAGCGTTGAAAGACCGTAACATTTGTAAAGGGTTGTTTCCGTCCTTCCCTCCTTTTTTTCTACCTTTTTGAGGATTTTTAGCCCACGGGGCTGTTAAGCTCCTGGTTCTACTTTGCTTCTTGGTTGGAGCCTCACCAAGGATCTGCGGGAGGCTTATGTCTCGGCATGCTGGCAACGGAGTGATGGCTGTGAGCCTTTCCCTTCTACTTGACTTCTGAGGAGCTCCCACCACACCAGACACCACATGCCTGCTCACACTTGTTGTCGGGAGACACCTAGCCTTTAGGACCCTCTCTCCATGTTTGCTGGCCAGGGTCACCCTAGCAAAGATCTGCACAGAGAAGGGTGACTCCTCAGGAAAGGTCCTGTGAAGGAGTCCAGCCCACAAGCTCCATGGTTGGTCTCCCTGGGCCCACGCTGGGCTGCAGGGTGTCCATCTTTTACTGGTCTTTCTGTCTCTCATTGAGGGAAGCATTCAAGGAAGGTAGGATGGCCTGGGCTGGCTTGGGGCCTCTTCCTCTCATAACCTTCCTCTCCTCAACATCCTCCCCTCTCGCTCTGCTCTTGTTCATTTGCGTTCACTAGGTGTGCTGCTTTCAATAGACCAGAGTAACTTTTTATGAACGTGTCAGTTGCTTTTCCTGAAGGAAGTTTCAGGGTCCTGCACGAGCTCCCTGTCAGGTGCTTGAGCGCCAGGAGTCCTGCCAGATCGAGCAGGAGCTCATTTCAGAAGTGCGCTGTTACTCAGCCTTGGCTTACTGGGTGGGACCTGGTGCAGTGTGCTGCTGAATGTGGAGGGGGTGGGGGGTACTGAGCATGTGGCAGAGCAAGCATAGAGTCCTTTAGGGCTACTAGAGCTCAGTCCACACCAAGGGCTGGTGTGGTGAGAAGCAGGCCTGTTGAGGCTAGGGGTCTTGTAATGAGTGACTCAGTGTCTGATTTGCTAGTAACATTTCCAGGAATGGGCTGTTCCTGTATGACAATTTTTTCCCCAGAGGGGTGGGGGTAGGGGGTGTTGTTGCCGAATGAGGGCTACTGGGTTGGAGGACTTGAGGGGTCTGACCAGTGGTGTGAAGTGGTTCTCCTAGCATGCACACCCCATGTCCTGTTCCCTCACATAGATACTTGATAGGTTTCTTCTCATGGACTTTGTTGTCCACATAGCCACTGAGCATATCCTGGAGTGGGTCTACTTCTGCTGGTCTGTCTGCAGGTGTGGTGGCCCTGGCTGCACTTTTGAACATCTCTATTCAAGCAGTTAAGTTGGCAAAGACTTAAGGAATGAGCAGGCTGACTTTTATTATTATTATTATTATTATTATTATTATTAGAGAATACAGCATCTGGAAGTTTGGCATCCAGGAGGGAGAAGAAGTCAGGTGGTCCTGTGGATGGAAACCAGGCAGTCACAGGCTTCAGCCTTGGGGTGGTGGAAAAAAGCACTCTTCTTTCACATGGTGAACCTGAGGCTCACAATCAGTCTGCTTACTTGGCCTCTTGTCTGTTTCTGCATGAATTGTAATGTGTAATGTGTGTTTCCACACTAGGGAGTGGCTCTGAGAGATTTGAGATGGGCATGTTTCCCTTCTAGAAGAAACACTAGCTTTTTCTCTGACCACAGGGATTTTCTGGAGACTGCTCATGTTCAGCTTGTCCCCTGCATGCCCATCCCATCCCATATCTCCAGGAATGACTGCCATTGCTATCTTCAGGAGGGTATTTCTGGCATTGGAAGGTGTCTGCTCCTTAAGAGTATCCCTTTCCCTCTAGGGTGCCACTAGCACCAGCGTGCTCAGTGGCTTTGATTTCTTCTCCACTCCCCCATTTTTAATCCAAGGAGGACAAATGAACTCTTCCTTCTGTCCGCTCTTTCTAGCCCCTCAACCCAGCATCTGCCCTGGTTGTTTAGAAGTGCAAGGGGCCATAGGATTGCTCTGACTCACTCACTGTAGAGAGAGTTGGGGTTGATGGGGCTTCTCACAGTGAACTGGCAAAGCAGGTACCATGTGTGCTGAGGCCCTTGTCTCCACAGCCACACATCCCAGGCTGAGTTTCCTCCTTGGGAGCTAGTGCATCCTATGGAAGCTGTCCTACCTGCTGCATAAGACCTCATCCTGCCCAGACTTGCATGAGGGCAGCTGCTCCCACTTCGGCTCCTTTCCTTCCCTGAAGGGCAATCATGTTAGTCCAGTCCTCTAGCAAACCACAGTTCCCACACTTTCTGGTCTGTGAGTTGGTTCCCAAAAGAACTTGGACCTGTGAGGATCTAGTCAGTGGAGATCTGTTCTGGGATTTCTCTCTTTTTGAGAAGAAAGGTCTCCAGCTAGTACTGTCCATAAGGTGGCAGTTATTCCTTTTGATGGCTTGTTCAGTCACACCCTGCCCCAAAACAAGGTGTGCAGCCTGGTGCTTCTGTTATGAAGGAAGTGTGTCCTGGAAAGCACTGTAAGAGCCGTTTATAGGGCCCATCCAGCCCCACCATCCACTGGGCATTGGCTTTTCTTAGTGTGTGAGAGGTTAGGAGAGTCTTTCCTGTGCCCTCATTCTTGTGGAGCAGCAGTGGCCACTCTGATGCGAGGGCTGGTCATGAGAAGCAAGTGAGTTCCTGAGTTGTGTGGAGAGACCAGCTGTTCCCTGGGGTCCCCAAAATGGCACCTGCATTGTCTGTGGACCTGGTCAAGGCACATCTGGACACACGCTGGACGCGGGCAGTCAGGGGTCTGGGGCCTCGCGTGCTGGTTCGGCCAGCGGGACGCTTACCAACAGCTGTCTTTTCCCCACCTCAGAATAGCATTCCTTTCGAACACCACGGCAAGTAGCTGCTCGTCTCCGTCGGAAGGCAGCACTGGGTGAGTGTGCTCGTGATGGGGCTCCGCAGGCGGCAGGCTCCAGGCGGGTGGGAGCAATCACTCCCCACCCACCTGGGGCTGGCAGGCGGGCTGGGCTTGCATGCCAGGTGCTGGAGGTAGAGAGGCTTTTTCTGCTTTGTTCTTCTCCTGTGTGGGTTCTGGAGCAGCTGTGGTCAGCTGCACAGTCTGGGGAGTAGAGCCATCCTCAACGTCTCTGGACAGAGTGACTCCAGAGGACCATCCCGCCATGCCTTTGGCCTCGGGCCTGTCTCCTGGTTGCCCCACCTGAGCTGCCTCATCTGGGCAGTTGTGCTGGGACATGTGTCTGTTGTGCTCAGCTGAGTGGCGCCACGCTTGGTGTTGGGGCTCTTCGGCTCTTGCTGCGTTCAGATTCCTGGTGGTTTCTGCCCATCCTGGCTTTTTTAGTCATCCCTCTTCCTCTCTTTCATTTATTTCTGTCCTCATTTTGTGTTTCTTTCTGAACTTGGTCCCTGCCCAGCCATATCGTCCACGCAGTTGTCTGTATTAACCCATCCAGCCACGGCCACCTGCTCCCCTGCCATCAGTGCATGGCTGGGCGTCCTCGCTGCGCTCCTTCTCGTCGGCCACACGGCATTTGGTGGCTCCTTTCAGCAGGGGCTTAAGCTTGAGGGGAGGGATGGTGCTGCTGGGAGACTTGCTGCCGTTTTAACACTGTGTGCACTCTTGGAAATATGTTGACAAGAACTGCTTTTCATGTCTTCCCCAAGGGGGTGTGCCTGTTTTCAATGCACCAACTTACTTTTCAGGAAGGGAGTCTGGGAGCAAGCGTCACTACCCCACTTGGATCCTTATGAGCGTGGCTCTGTGGTCTCCTTGCTTGCATGCCTCTTCTTCCTTCCCCATCTTCCTGTCACTTGTTCTGCTCAGCACGTGTTCTGGCCGCAGAGGTCCCTCTGTGCAGCCAGGTTTGCAGGTGTCTAGACTGGGGCCAGGTGCTGGTGTGTCCCTTCCTTCCCAGGCTCCATCATGTGGTATTTGTGCCCAAGCACCTGGCTGGCCTGTTCCTCTGGCCTCATGCTGACCTTATCCTGTGCTTTGGCTCCGACAGATTCCTGGTCGGGTGGCTTCCAGTGGTCTTCAGTCTGTCGTACACCGATGAGAACTCTCCTTTTTGCTGTGAAGGGCAGACAATGCATGGCTGATCTACTCTGTTACCAATGGCTTTACTAGTGACACGCCCCCCGGTCTAGACCCGAAACGTTAACGCCGGGAGCTCTCCAGGCCACTCACCCAGCGACGCTCATGGGGAATCAAAATACAAACTAAACGGACAGGCTCCAAGAGCTGCCACCGCCAGGGGCTGCCACCATGGCCCCCACGTGAGCTCAGTTGTCACGGGGCTGGGAAGAAGAGCAGAGTATGGGAGACCATTGCAGAGAGAACCAGACTCCTGTCAAGAGCTCTCAGCTCCCTCCAATGGTGGCAAACCTGCGCTCCCTGATGATCCTACCGCAGCTACCCGTCTTCTACTTGGTTAAGACAGTTTTGTATCATTTTGCTAAAAATTACTGGCTTAAATCTGTGTAAAGAAATCTGTCTTTTTATTGTTTCCTTCTTGTCTGTTTTTGCGGTCTTAAAAAAGATGTTGACCTTAAAGAATCCTGAGACTGATGCTGGCTTGGAGCTTCTGTGTAAAATAGGTGCAGGCAGGAGATGGGCACATGTGAATGTCTAGGATGTGTGTTGTTCTGTTTTTGTTTCTTGTGTTGTACTGTCTACTTTGGAGGAAATTTCTCATCAGAAATTGTGTGCATGTGTGAGTGTCTTGTGGGCCCCCATCAGCCCAGTTTTGGCATCTTGTGTGCCCTTCCCCATATAACTGAAATGCCTGTCATGACCAGAGGAGGTGGAGTGCAGGCTGCCAGGGAGCAAGGGCACAGCAGGTGTGTCCCCAGCAAAGTGCTATGGCGTTCTTCCCAGAGGAGGTGAGACAGAGTTGAGAACGCTGAAGAACTTGCACAAAGGCCTTGAGAGGATACTGGGGAGTTACAAGACTCAAAGCTAAGTGTATGTTTTGGGTTTCTATGGAGAGGATTGTGAATCAGAACACGGGGGTTGTGTTGGGGGCCATGTTTGGTTATTTTGGCAGAGTTTGTTGTTTCCTATGCCTTTGAATTTGAGAAGTTTCTGAACAGACTGTTAAGTACTACTGTGCAGATGGTGATGGTCTGTCATCACCTCCCTGCTCAAAGCCAGGGAGCAGGCTGGCCTAGATGCTGTGGTTTGCCCAGAAAGACCTGTGGCTGAAGGGAATCCACCCGGAAGCGCCAAGCAGTGGTGACTGCTCACCTGAATCTAGAGCCTTCACCTCCGTGAAGGGGTGGAGCTGCATGTTCCATGACCTTTGGAGGGACACCTGTGGGGTGGAGCTGCGTCTGGCTAGGAGGAACAGCCCCTGCAAGCTGGTCCTGTCCTGAGGGGCTGGGCTGCTCTGCCGCTGGCAGTTAGGATGCTGAGATGCTCTTCCCTACCTTGACTGCACCTGTCATGAGCACCGGATGTTAAGAGACAGCAGGGCCTGAGCTCTCTTGTCTGGGAAACGGCATAGTACATGTTGGGTCCATCTCTGTTTCTTCTTCCTGCCAGCCTATGCAGTGTGTTCCACTGGAAACTAGGCTCCTTGTGGAGGTGGGGCCTGACAGTGCCACCGTGGCGTCCCCTCCTTCCCAGAGCTCCCTGGCATTGACCATTGGCCCTGGAGCCCACGTCTGGTGTGCACTGGTGCCCCAGCCAGCCAGCCGTCTGGGTGCTTCCTTCCTAATCCTCACTGGTTTCTCTAAGCATTTTGGGGTGCAGGATCTTGACCAGATGGGGGCTGTGAGTCTGGAAGTGCAGAGGGAGGTCAGGGGAAGTTTGAGATTTTTGTTGTTGCGAGTGCACCCTTCAGGAGTTGAACCTCCCCTCTCAGAGAGCTGCCGGCGGCAACAGCCCTGCATGGCAAGTGTTTGTTGTAGATACCTGTGGTGCCGGAGGGGTGGTGCATGGACGTGGTCTTGGGACTGCATCCAGGTTCAGCCTGGAACTGCTGGGCTGCGCTGGAAGCGGACCCATCCCAAGTCCTCAAGGATGTGGCAGTGACAGTTCTTGCCCAATATTTAATCCCCATCATCACTTGCAGGAAACATAGTTAGAATGTGTGTATCAACCTGTGTCTTGGTGACCAGTCTCTGAGCTGTGCGTTTGTACTACCACTGTATTTGTGTACTTTAACAATTGTGTAAATAATAAATTCATAATGACTTCTACCTTTCTTCCCTGCCCCTTTTGTGTGGTCTTTATTTCATCAGCTGAGTTTTCAGTGTGATTAGATTAACCATGTGACAGCTAACTTTTTTGAGGATGGCATTCCTACTTGTCCTTTCTCAACCTGTGGGTATTGCGAAGCTGGTTGGAGCAGGCACTGGAAGGACACTTCCCATTTGGGGTGCACATGTTCCCTTGGGGATGTTGTGACGTTTCTCAGAACCCCTTTTTCCTCAGCTTAAGCACCTATAGGACATTGGCCCCTGGACCGCATGACCCTCTGGGCAGTGCTGGCCTGAAGTATTTGGGTACCTTAGGTTTTATGGAAGGTAGACAATGCAGTAAGCTAGCAGGATGACTGTTTACCCTGCCAAGGAGGATGGCTCTTGAGGGGACATCTGTCCCTCAGCCACACTTTTGGCCATGGATGCTCCTTGATTTGTCATAGCCCCCTACAGGTTTGGAGAGAGGGCATCCCTTGTCAACCCCTGACGAGTCCATGGTGACACACCCCTTCTGAGGGATAGAGTGACAGGTTATTGGAGCTGGCAGATCTGTGCCTATCACTTCACCTGTCCTATCTCTTGGGAGCCCTTAATCTGGACTCCATGCACTGGTGAACTTGGTGGCCCTCACTTGTAGCCCTCAAGTGTCAGCAGGACTTACTGGTCCAAACCCACTTGGCACTGCCCTGCATGTGGCACACGTGCACGTGTTGGAAGGAGACCCCTACTGCTCTTCTGACCCCACCAGGGCACCTGGCCTTGACTTGCTTTTTGCCTCTTTTCAGCTCCTCTTCTTCAGTCATTCTGTCTGTGCCCTGGCCTTCCGAGGTTGGCTTCTGCCTGCCTTGTGGGTTCCTGGAAGGAGCTGGTGAGGATTTCCTTGTCACTCCACTCTGAGCCCACAACTCCCTCTCTTTCCTGCCAAGAAAGTGTTGAGGGCCATGCCTCCCCCAGGGTTGTGTCCTTGGGATACAGTTTCTGTCCACTGCCCTCTGAAGATGCCTGTGCTGGAGGTTAAAGGGAGCTGGTCTTCGAGCCTGTGTGGACCTGGTAGACCCCCCATCCTTGAGGGAGATGGTCTAGACACTGAAGAGCCTGCAGGTCTGAGTGACTGCCTCCCAGCAGCTTTACCAACGGGCCCCAGACAGCACAGCAGCGTCCACCAGCCACTAGGCCTTTTCTAGGTCCCACACATACCTGTTCCCTGGTGTTCTCTGCAGAGGCCCAGTGCTGGTACACCTCCCCTTATGTTCAGAGGTGTATGCATCACAGAGCAACCTAGCATGGGGGTTTGGGGCAGGCGGCAGGGATGCAGCAGCACCACGTGCTACCTAGGTTCCCGACTCATTGACACCCCCAGCACTGGTTTGGGGATGATGTAATGCAAGCCAATGTAGAGGTAGGTCTGGACAGGTGCACCTCAGGCATCTCTTGATCCGGGTTAGGGCCTCACAGGATATTGAATGTGACCCTCCTTTGGTGACTAAAACTGCCCCACCCACGGGACAAACTTGTTCACCCCATGCCCTGGAGCATCCCCAGTTTCCCCCAGAGGACTCAATGGCCTTCCTTGACTCTCTTCTGGCTCTCAGCCTCTCACCTCACCCACTGGGTCACAGTGTCACTGCCCCAAGTGCCTGGCTGCCCAGTAGCCACAGCTCAAGGGCAGGAAGTTCCTTTCTACCCTGTCTGGAAAACATCTTGAACCAGAGGTGCAGGCACATGTGACCACCTCACCCTCCTCACAGTTGCAGGGGGCTGCAGATGCTGCAGCCATGCCAGAATCTCACTGGCCTGTGTAGGCCTGAGGAGCTAAAATTCAGGGCCACACAGCATCATCTCCCCATGAAGGCTCCAGTCCATTGTGGGTCCCTCCTCAGCCAAGCAGTACCCATCTTCCCAGGAAGTGATCCCATCTTGACCTCCTCAGAATACATTTGTTACCAAAGCCTGCCTTTGGGGGACTGCCCTTTCCTTAGCGTTTCATGTTCTGGCAAACCGTGCGCTTGGTTCCCAGTAGGTGTGGGACAGGATGTGGAGAAGAGCCTGGAGGGGGAGCACCTCTTGCTGCTCTCACCAGGGGGTAAAGCAGTTTAGGGGAACGTGAGGGCTGGCTTCATGTGGGAGATTCAGGAACCAATCCAGGAATAAGACCCCCAACAGCCACACCCTACTGGCAGCCACAGGACCAGTGTCTCCTGGGGCCCCAAGAAGCAGGGCTGGCTTCTGGCATGGTGCCTCTTAATTGTCCAGTGAGCCTACACCAAAATGCCACCCACTCCCCACCTTGTCCTTTCTCTCTGGTTCCTGGAGGCAGGAGATGGCCTGTCCTGAGCCCTGGGGTCCCTGCTGTTCCACTTGAAGTGGTGAAGTTAGCACACAAGGAAGACTCCCAGGATATGTGTGACCCTTGGCCTCAGTGCAAGGCCATGCAGCTGCCAGCACTGCCTGCCAGCAGAGTCCCTGGCAGAGGGGATAGGAAGACCAGACAGGAGGGGGTACCCCAGGGCCATGGGACTGCCAATCAGGGAGCTGCAAGCAGGTGCATGGCCTGAAGGAGCATGCCCCTGGCTTCTTCCCATAGCTGGGCAGGGTCAGGACCTACCAGGGGGCATGGGAGACTGGGCCTGAGACGTGAGCTCTCGCCTCCTTTTCCTTGCAGAGGAGCAGGGATGTGACGTCCCTCCGGCTGCACGCGGCCCGCCAGGGTGCCCGCTGCCGTCCCCAGCGCCCACGACGCACCACCTACTGAGGCGGCCCCAGCGGCCTCTGACCGGGCTCCCAGCCACGCAGGCCACCACTGGCCACAAGGGCAGGTGGGTGTGAGGTGCCCAGGGCGAGCCCAAGCGTTGAGCGCGGGCTGGACGGAGGAGGACGGGGAGCAGAGATCAGCAGGCGCTGACCACATAGAGCAAATTACCAGCCGACCAGAGGGGTGAATAAAAGAGGCAGGAAAGTCTATGTTTTAAAGCCCACACGCAGCGAACAGAGCTCGCATGCTCTATCTCAGCTCAGTCCCCTCACCGCTGGGGCTCGCAGGTCTCAGACCAGCCCACAGGCACAGCACCGTCCCCGCGGCCTCCAGGCACCTGTCTCTAGCACAGGTCCTTCCCCCGCCAGCCCCGTTTCTCCACGCCCTGTAAATACTGTGGCTGCTGAGCAACCCCTGGGGTCAGCCGGGACTGTTCCAGACAGACAGACAGCACTGCGAAAGCTGATGAGGACCAAAACCGCTTTGTAAGGATAACCAGGTTGTTTCTTAGCCAAAGTGGGACCCAGGGTGACCATCTTACTGCGCACAGCTCCTGGAGACAAACCCCTCTGAGACTCCCCCCACACGCAAGTTTATTTCCACACACTCAGGTGGAAGGAGCTCTTTGTCCCCTAGACCAAGAGAGATGGGCACAGTGGGGTCAGACGGGCACCAGGGAGGGAGGTTGAGGCAGTGCCCACCCGCCAGCCTCTCCCAGCCCCACCCTCTGATTAAAGTCGTGTTGTGTCCGAAGCATGGGTTTCTAGGTCCTTGACCACAGCGGGGTGGGGGACACGGGTTGCAGACTGGGTCCCTGGTGCAGGCGGCTTGTAACTGTGGGGCTTGGCTTCACCGCAGATCCACTTTGGAATGACACGGTTCCTACCCCGCCGCCTCCCCCCCACAAAACACTGACCCGCTGACCAGGCAGCCAGAGCCGAGCCGGTGGCCCTGCCTCAGCTGGTCCTGTTTGTGAAATAAATACGAGCGTTGCCAGTCTCTGTACCTCGTCCCTGCTCCCTGCTGGCCTGGCCTGGCCGCTCACACGCTGGTTTCCGGGGTATGAACCACCTCCCCGTTTTTCTCAGGCTCTGCCTTCAGGAAGTGCTCCACCTCCTGCGAGTCCACCCTCACGTCCATGGGGGGCTTGTGCAGCTCCTCTGCGGCCGAGGCCGTCGCCTCGGGCCGCGCAGCCTCAGACCTCTTCCCCATGCAGAAGAAGTTGCCCAGCAGCAGCACAAAGGAGGAGGTGAGCACCTCGGCCCCCGCCAGGAGGAACACGCACTTATAGACGTGCGTTGCGTCCAGCAGCTTGCCTGTAAGAAGACCCAAGTCACCAGCAGCTCCTGCAGGCACAACCACCACCTGGGACCAGGGCTCCCTCCCAAGCCTTGTGGAGTCGCTGGTGTCCACCTCACCCTGTCTCTTCCAGTGCTATCCACAGCAAACACCCTGCCACCCTCCCCAACTTCCTCTCCCTGCTCCTCCCTGCCAGGGAGCAAAGACAAGACTGAGGCTAAAAATGGAAGTGGCCTTGAGCGTTTGCAGAGTCACAGGCGTGGCCCCCTGCCCTACTGTGGCCCTCAGAGGCACTACTGAGCTCAATGTGGCCCTGCCCCTAGTGACTGAGGACCCCAAGACAGTAGCTCTGGGCTTGCCTCCTCACCTAAGACCCTTTTGGGGGAAGGGGGCACCAGAGGCTACAGGGCGCTCAAATATGGCTGCAGGATGGGCTACAGACCCAGATCCAGGATGCAGGGTCTTCCCACAGACCAGAGCCTGACAGGGCTGCCCCCCAGTTAAAACTATTCCCAGTTTATCTAGAGTTTTCTCAGTTGACCTTTACAAAGGAAAGAAAGGCCCTAGCAAACACTGCCCCTGCCCCTGTGGTGCACCAGTGCCGCAGAGGAGCTGCCAAGGCCCTGTCTGGGCTGTCAGGCATCCTCCTGTCCTGGCTCGGGGGCAGTACTCACACTTGGCACCTGCCAGCCCTGGCCTCCACCTCACCCCTTTCCGAATCTCCCCTAGGACCACCATCCTCCACCTCTTAAAGCAGGTGTCTGACAAGAAGGGCAGGTGGGCCAGCTCCAAATGGGTGGCCCTCCCCTGAGAGGCAAGTCCACGCCCTGCCCTGGCCCCCAGAAGCACTCACCACCCGATGGGGGTCCAATGAGCACGGCCACGGCCTCCAGCAGCAGCACAAGACCAATGGCACTGGAGAACTTGTGGGTGCCCACGATAGCCATGAGCACCTCGAACTGCAGAGCCCCCACCATGCCGTAGGAGATGCCAAAGAAGATGCAAAAGACCACCAGGCCATCGTAGTCACTGGCCGTGGAGCCTGTCAGGTCAGTGAAGCCATTGAAGAACATGGCGAAGCTGAAGAGGTAGACAGAGTAGGGCCGCACTTTCTTGAGCCCGGTGATGAAGCCAGCCGTGGGCCGGGCAAAGATGTCGATGAAGCCCAGGATGGTGAGCAAGAAGGCAGCCTTGGTGTCCGGCACACCCAGGTCCTTAGCATAGCTAACCACAAACACAGGTGGCACAAAGAGCCCCAGCACCATGATGGAGGCGGCCACTGCATAGATGAGGAAACCGCGGTCCTTGAAGACGCTCAGATCCAGCAGGCGCTGGGATGGCCGCCGGGGCTCTGGTTCTCCACTCGACTTGGGAGCCACTAGTGGCCTCATGAGTGCAGCACACACACAACAATTGAGCAGCAGGCCCCCCAGGATGAGGAAGCCACCCCGCCAGCCATAGTGGTCTTGCAGCAGCTGCCCCAGTGGGGACAGTGCACACAGGAACACTGGACTGCCCGCTGCTGCTAGCCCGTTGGCCATGGGGCGCCGCTTGTTGAAGTATCGGTTGAGCATGATGAGGGAGGGCTGGAAGTTGAGAGCCAGGCCCAAGCCTACAGAGGAGGGGGCGGCATGAGACCCTGCCCAGACCCACCGTGCTCCTGCCCACAGCTTCTCCCAGGCACAGGCTCCAGGCTCCACCTTAAGTGTTGGGGCCCCTGCCACTCGCTCCCTGTGGTGCCACAGCCCACAAGTCCCTCCCACCTCTCGGGTCCCACTCACCAGTGATGACCCCCGTGGTGAGGTACACCTGAATGATGCTTCTGCAGAAAGAGGCAGCCACCATGCCCAGGGAAGCGAACAGGCCACCCACGAGCATGACAGGCCGGCAGCCAAAGCGGTTCACACACACGCTGCAGAGTGGGCCTGTGGGAAGCAGGAGCTAAGGATGGGGCCAGGCCTCTAGCCAGTCTGCCCTTTCCATGCCCACTGTCCACTGTGAGCTCAGGGTCATTTCCCAGGCCTGCTGCCTGCAGCTGGTCCCTCTCACCCAGCAGCTCTTTAGGTGTGCCCTGAGCACTGTGGAGCAGGTTCTCCAGGTTCTCAGTGCAGGTAACAGGTGGACACCTGGCAGAGCCCAGCTCCCTCTGGGATTCTTCCCATTCATCTAGCAGCCTGCTCAGATCATCAGGGGTTAGCCATCTTCTCTAAAGAACTGCTCATGGGAACCCTTTCCTCTGGGACCATTTATAAATAAACCCACGATTTTGGACAGGGGCCAAGACAGACTTCCACTGGGCCTTGTCAGACCCTACAGGGCTTCCTGGCAGGATCCCCATCACAAGGGCTTTCCCAGGTTGCCTCAGCCCTGGGACAAACCCCACACACTTGGTCTCCAGTGGCCACCAGGCAAAGCCAGCTAGCCCCCAAACCCCAGGACAAGTAGCCCGGCTATGGATGGCCTCACCTGTGCCATAGAGCATAGCCAGGAGGATGGAGGAGATCCAGGCTGTGTCACTGTAGCCAATCCCGAACTCATGAATGAGCTCTTTGAAGAAGACGCTGACGGCCTTGGGGAAGGCATAGGAGAAGCCTGTGATGACGAAACAGCCGAAGAGGACGGCCCAGCCCCAGCCGCCATCCGGGGCCTTGACACCCGTGGGACCATCATCCACCACGGCTCCTCCCATGGCCAGGAGGGCTGGTTCTGCCTCACCTGAGAGAAAGGAAGCAGAGCCGATTCAGGTTGCCAAGGTGATCATCTCAGCCACAGCCCAGCAGGCAGTGGGACAGAGACAGCCAAGACACCTAGGGAGCCCCAGGACTGGCCCGTCTGCCACTACAGCAGGGGCTCAGCCATTGGCAGCCTTCTAGGCTGTGTGTGGCTCTTAGGGAAAGACAAGGGCCCTGATGGACTCAAGCAAGTACTGGGGCCAGGGGAGGGCGAGTCCTTGAGGAGGCTTTCACCCAGCCCACAGAAGCAAATCCTGGGCAGGTAGGAGCTATCCCAGACCCCGCACCGGCCCAGGACCCACTTCCCTTTTTGTAAATCCCAGTTTAGCTCACGCAAGACAGAGCACGTCAGAATGCCGGGGCCAGAGTTCCATCTTTCTGCCCCACCCCCTCATTAGTCCCCTAATCCCAGAGGTCAGCCTGGCAGCCTCATCCCCACCTCACCAAGGAGAGCTGCAGGAGGATGAGGGCTGGCGTCCGACCTGGGGCGTTCAATCCAGCCTGCTCTGCCTTTCCCCACCAGCGCTATGCTGTCAGCCAGCACCCTGGGGAGAAAAGCAGTAAGGTTGGCAGACGTTTATGGTGTGAACACCCAGGCCACCAAGGAGCCCCTGAACAGGAAGGAGAGCTGCTATGGACCCTTCCACCCTGACAGCTCGCCCCGGGAGCTCTCTCAGCTCTACCCCGTCCTTTGCTGGCACGCACCACACGAATGCTAGGGACTGGGCCCTGGTGTGGGGCCCAAGGGCTCAGGGGCTCCACAGGCCCACCTTCCCAGGATGCATCTTGCCTCTGACCACATAGTCTTGGCAGAGCCTGAGACACCCCCTTACCCCCCGCCCCGGTCCTCAAGGACAGGGCCAAAGGAGTATCATATGCCACAGTAAAGACACTGTGAGCAAGAGCACGGGATGGCTTATATCCTCATCATCAGTGCTGAGTTGAAGACTCCTAAGATGATACACAGCAGGGATTTTTTTTTTTTTGGTCTCGGCAGTACCAGTTTTTGGACTCAGGGCCTTATGCTTGCTAGGCAGGCACTGTACCACTTACTTAAGCCATGCCTCCAGCCCTTTTTGCTTTAGTTATTTTTCAAATAGGGTCTTTCAGTTATTCACCTGGACTTGGATCCTTCTATTTTATACTTCCCCTGTAGCTGGGATATCAGTAGTGTCCTCACCACACCCAGCTTGTTTGTTGAGATGGGTCCTCACTAACTTTTTGCCCAGGCTAGCCTCAAACTTCGAGCCCCCTGATCTCTGCTTTCTGAGTATCTGGGATAAGACTGAAAAAATATGTGTATTTTCAGAATGCATTTTGACACAATGAAACTGTAGGAAAGCATGGGAACCCCAGACACAGAATTCAAAGGGTGGTCACAGGGAGAATGAGAGGAGTGACTAATCTGGGGTCCCCACTTATTTGGATTGTGATACAGTAGTCTGTGCACTTTTCAAAATGAATTACGTGGTCATGCAAGGCTGAGGGGGCTGTCCAGAGCCAACAGTAAGAAGCCCAGCTCTGCACGTCCGGGTGCCCCACTACAGACAATGACAAGGCATCCTGAGCCCAGTGTTTGTTGGGGACCATGAATTCTGCACATACAGGTGCCCCCCCGCCCAAATATAGAGGAAGCAGCCAGGGCCACTGCAAAGGCTGGACCCTCCCTGGAGCTTCCAGGGTCCATAAGAGACAGAGGAGGGGAGGCGGGAACGTCACTACCTGCTGCAGATGAGGTGCCTCCTGAACGGGGGTCTTAGAGGACAGGCAGAGGGTCAGGAGGAACCAGAACATGCAGGAGGGCACAGCATGTTCTGAGACCTTCAAGGCCTGTGACTGCCATGTGAGGCTCATATCGGTATTTTCAGTGCCAAGAGATGTTGGCATCTGGACAGGAAGCTCCCAGCCAAGGCCTGATACTGGGGCTGTCCTCACCTAGCCTGGGGTGGTGCCAACCCCACTGAAGTGTCCTCACCAGTGTGACCCCAGCCTGTCACCCAGAGACCCTGCAAAGTGAGAGCTCTCAGCAAGTTTACAATTTGCCAACCAGGGGACAACCAGGACTCTGTGCTGCTGCTTGCCAACAGGACAGAGTAAGGCACTTGCGATTTCCAAGAGACAAGGGGCCTCATAAGTCCAGGTTGCCTTGGGTGAAGGAGGTCTACAGACCTCATCTCCCAGGGTAACAGAACATGGACAGGCTGAGGTGCAGACTGATGCTCCAAGAAAATCCCTGAGGCTGCCCTGGGGGGACCCACAGGGGAGGAAGTACCCCACCAGGGGCCACCTCCTGCAGCATACCCATGGGCACATCCCAGCAGGCTGGCCTTTTGGTGACATTTACCCTCCGAGGGAAGCATGCAAACCAGCACAGAAATAACCCGGCCTCTGGGTCATACAGAAAGCTGATCTGGGGGCAGAAGGGGGTGCCTCTAGGTCAGGAGAGGCTCCAGGGTGCTCCCCATGGCTATCCTCAGAAGTCCTTCAAAGGTCCAACACCCCTAGCTACTAGAATTTGAACAGGGGCAACCCATAGCATGGGTGCATGGGAGTCCCTTGACATAGCCCTTCCAGAACACCCCACATCCAAGGCCCAGAGCACCCTCTCCAGTCAGAGCGGTGGGGCCCCTGTCCTCTCCCCTCTGCCTACTCTGGGGGGGCATGGAGGCTAGCACAGAATTGACACACGACCCTGCTGCCCCAGGAAGGCAGACCAGGTCTCCACAGCAGCCCAAGCCCTAGGTTCTGTGGCCTGCCCAGGTGCCCAGTAAGTGCCAACAGGGAGGCTGGCCTGTACGGGGGAGGGATGAGCCTTGGCCCTGCCTTTGTGGCCCACACTGGCATTATATTCCTTCCAAACGCATTTCAAGCCCCTGAGGGCCAAGGAAACAGGCACAGTGAGGCTAGCACTAGCCTGTCAGGGTGGAGGGGGCAAGGGTCCTGCAGGGAGAGGAGGAAGGGCCTCCTTCCTCCCCGACCGCCCCTTGTGCAAACAGATAACCAGCAGAGGTGGCCGTCCCTCTGCCCTGTCCCCAAGCAGTGAGCAGAGGTGTGCTGGCAGAGGGGGCCAGAGGATGGGCCCAGGGCTGGCCTGCCTGGGCCCTGCACCCACCTCCACCGACCTGTGCAAACTGCTCTGCATCCTGGTGACCCTGCAGGCTGTCAGCTCACATCGTCTGTGCAAGGGCCAGTGGAGTGGAAACACTGGCCTCCTTTGCCAGACTGGACCCTGCCGCTTCACGGAGTCGAGGCCAGGGCTGGGGCCCGGGGAATGCCGCCCCGAGGATGGCTGTGCTAGCCCCTGTGAGGAAGCTGGGGGCCTGTTCCAGCTTGCTCTGGGAACTTCCTTCTCCGCAAGGCTGGAGTCAGTGGCTGAAGCCACCCAGAGCCGCCCTCTCCACACCACCACCCCCCCGCCGCCGCCAGGCCTGCAGGACCTCCCAAGAGTCCATGCGGCCCTCCACCCCTAAGAAATTAAGGAAGGGCCCCAAAGCCAAACGCCCGGAGGGCGGCTCTGAAGTCCTGGGCGCCCCTCCCGCCGCACCGTCCCCGGGGTAGGCAGGTGGGGAGGAGGGCTCGGATCGCGCTGGGCGGGTCCGGCCCGGGCCGAGGGCTGGAGGGGCGGGGGAAGGGAGGAAGCTCCGCCCGCGCGGCCGCTGGACGTGGGGGACGTGACCGCGCCGAGGGAGGAGCCGCTGCCGTATTGCCTGGAGTAGGCGCCCTCACCCCGCTACCGTACTTGCCTGCGCGCGCGACGCCGCCCGCACGCTGTCCCCTCCGCAGGGCGGGGCCGGGGTGGGTGCCCCCTCCACAACCCATTTCCCAGATGGGGACTGAGGTCTGTGTTCACCTGAACTGACTCTGTGAGGACCCCAGGCGCTGTCTGCTCCTGCCCCGCCCCCGCGCCAGTGCCCAGTGGCAGGTGGCCCAAGGCCTGATCCGCTCAGTGTCACCACCCAGAAGAGGCTTTTCACTAGCCCCTCCTTCCCCTTCCACACGGCCAGGTCACTGAAGGACCCACACTGGAGCCAGCGAGCTTGGCACATTGGGTACCCTGTGGGGTCCTAACCACTGGTCCCTTCCACATCACTCCTTAATGACTGGTCTCTTGCTGTCCCTCCAAACTTAGGCGTTTATGCTCCAGGCAATGAAGACTAAATAGCCTTATAGGTATCAGGCCCTGCCCAAGGTCACTAGGAGTGTGGGGCAAATCTACCCTGGGCCACAGCCTCCCGATGGCCATTCCAGGCTCTGTCCACACCTGAAAGCCCTGGGCAGGAAGGTTCCACACCTGCTCGGGCAGTGTCCCCTGGGCAGTGGGGGGGGTCGGCACCCCCTCCCCATACCCTCCTAGCCATATTATCAGTCTCTCCCCACTCCGTGGGAGTCCAGACACTCACGGGACTGTCGTCGTCCCTCTCAGCAGAGACAGACCCAGAACCCAACAGACACCAGCTAACTCTTGGGCCTGTGGAATGACACTGGGGAGCCCTGGGGAAAAAACCTCACCTCCACAAGCTGCACCCACCCCTGCTGTCAGCTTTGGATAGCTCCGAGGTCTGGGTTGCATGGGAGAGGCCACCCTACCGACCCTACCGTTTGCAGTCCCTCAAGCCAACCAGAGGGCCTGGCTGGTCATCACATCTTGTCAGCAGGGACATGCAGCTCAATGTCTGGGACAGAAAAGACACTGGCCCTCGGCTGTACCTTTGCCCCTCACCCAGATTCTAGGAACCCCAGTGGCGGATAGCCCAGAGCTAATAATGGCTTCCCTTTCACTCCAGCCTGCCTTTTGATTGGCCCAGCGTCGAGGCAGGTACTTCATCAACCCACTTTTTAGAGAAGAAAACTGAAGTCTCAACCGGTTTTCCCACAGGACGAACATACTGGAGAGAACCTAGTCCATTCTGGAGGGAGACCTCCCACTTCTGGGTGCCGGTTCTGCCTGGCTGCTAGCGGTGCACCGAGGCTGGGTGTGGGTGGTGAGTTTAGGGTAGTAGTAAGAGGAGAAGGAGGGGCCGGAGTAGAAAGCCCGAGGACACACGGACGCACGGACACACACACACCCGGTGCCGGAGCCGGAGCGCACGTGCGCCCCTCTCCCTGGGCAGGCGGCCCCGGGCAAGGTTCAGGAAGGGCCGCAGCATCCCCACCAAATATAGCCCGTGCGCCCCGGCCGCCCGCTGCCCAGACCGAGCTATTAATACCCGGGACCGCTCGGCCGCCCGCCGCAGCTGCATCCTGGCCAGAGACCAGTCCCCGAGGGCCGCCCGACGGATGGGCGTCCGCGCGGGCGGGGAGGCGAGGCCGGGCAGTGGGATGCGAAGGCGCACGGTGGCTGCCCGGAGTCCTCGGTGGGACCGCAGGGGTGGGAGGGCTCGTGCAAGCCCGGGGTACCCTCGGGGCAGGAGGCCCTCGGGGCATGGGCAAGGGGCTGAGGGGCGCCGGTCTAGCGGAGGACCCCAGCCCGACGCGGGCCCAGGCCCCAGGGAGGCTCGGTGGGTCCCTGCCCCGGCCCGCGCGCCGAGCATCCGGGCCGCACCTACCTGCCGCCGCTGGCCGCTAGCCGCCGCGCCCGCCTCTGCCCGCCTCTGCCAGCCTCGGCTGCCGGGCGCCGCGCCGGGGGCGATTTTAAGTGCTCTGGTCGCTCGCGCGGCACGTCCCCCGCGCACGTCACCGCCGCCTGGCGCCGCCCCTGGTCGCCCCGCCCGGACCCCGCGCCTCTGCGGGAGGGGGCGCCCCGCTGCCGCTCCCCGACGGCGCGGCCCTGGGCCCAGAGACCCCCGGCCCGAACCCGCTCTGTCGGCACCCCGGGCAGGGACCCCAGCCCGGACACGCGCCCTCTCGCCGGCCAGTCCTCCTCCTCTGCGCCCTCGGACCCAGGGCACCCGCCTCGCTGGGCCTCGAGTCTCCGCCCGCTGCTCCTCAGCCCCTCCGTTTCCCCTCCCAAGACCGCAGTTTCCGTCTTCTACCGCTCCGGCAGGAACTGGGCCTAATCCCTACCACCTCCACCTCCGGGACTGGAACCCCTCGCCCCCATGTCCGAGCCGCGCGCTCTGGCTGGTGGGCACGCGCACCCACAGCACCCCACGCGGCCTGGGGCCCGCGGGCCACCACGGGGTCCACTAGCCTAGTTCAGCTCTTTGCATGCAGGCCTCCTTCGCACCTGCGCCCTAACCAAACCTCTGAGGCCTGCGTGCCCTGGGTGATCTTGGGCAAGGCGGTCGGTCAACCTCTCTGAAGTTCCGTTTCCCTGGGTGGCTCCAAGCCCTGCCAAGTCGATAGAGTCGCAGATCCCAGCCCTGCTCCAGCCGCCTCTCTGTTCCCGGCCCAAAGCTGGAAGTGGGCGCCAGCAGGTACCCCCCATCCTGCACCACACACACTGCCCACGGGCCAGGGCTGGGGGAAGGTGGAGCGCTTCTGAGCCAGGAAGTCCCTGCGCCTCCTCTGCCCCACTTTTCTTACCACTGCATGGAAATAACCGGGTGCTTTGGGTGCTAAGGTTTGAGGAGGCGCCAGGAGTTTGACCTTTGGTGGCCAGAGCCCAGGACACCACTTGTCCTTGGGCAGCCAGCCTGGGACACTCCTCACTATCTTGTAAATGACAACCGGGTCTCTGGGAGCTAAAGAGGCTGAGATGGGTGAGGAGTGATGGAGGACCCTCCCCCGACCCCAGGCCATGGGCATCCACCTTCTTGGTGGTGGTAAAGGGAAGGCAGCCTGATGTTGGCCTTGACTCCCAGAGTCCACCGTCTGGAGCCTCCAACCTTCTGAGATGCCCAGTGCAGGAAGGCACTGCTTTTTCTATCAGGTACTAAGTGTCCACCCTCTCGTGGGCCCCCATGGGAAGAGACATGCGGGGTCTGACCCCTACCCATCCTCGAGGCCTGTCCATCCCTTACCCCAACGTGCTGAAGACATTCCATGCTCCTGTGAGAATCCTGCAGGCTCCAGCAAGTGGGAATGGGGGCCTCTGCCTCGTGCATGAGGACCTGGACAGGTGGCCGAACCCCCTCAGGTTGTCTGTCTGCAAGATCTCCACAGGATCTCAATGTTCTGGCCCAGTGTCTTGTGGCAACCGCCTGAATGCTGCACAACCAGCATTCCACAGCGGTATCCTAGCTTGGAAGCGCAGCCAGGGGCGGGCAAGGCCTGGAAGAGCTACAGAAAAGAGTCTCGAAACTCTCCTCTGCCTCAGCTGGGCTAGGGGCTGCTGCAGACACCCTGAACATCTGCATGGGGCATGGGAATTAGCCTCACACAGCTTGCTGGGCCTGCAGACTCCTTGTGGGTAGGAGCTGTGCAGTTCTCTGCCCTATACCTCCCCTCGACCCTTCCTTTGGACCAAATAGCTCAGAGCCGCCAATGAGGGGAGGGAAACCAAGCCAGGGTGCCCCAGGTCTCACTGCCAGGACAGATATTACCTACTTCTGAGGCCTAGTACCCTCTGGACAATCCCATACTCGCCTTCTGAGGGAACCAGAGGACACCCAGGGCCCAGAGCTCACAAGAGAAATTCCTAATGGCACGAGTGGTGGCTGGAGCCCACTGGGAAGGTGGGAAGAGTCAGCTGGGCATGGTGTTGGGGGAACCCATCCCAGACCTGGCTCCAGTTTCTCCACAGTGACCTGGGCCAGCTCCCAGCCCAAGACTGTCCTTTTCTGAAAGGATGGAATAGAGGACTTGGGAAGGTGCAGCTTCCCAGCACTGCCCCCCCACAACCCAACCAGCTCTCCTCCACAGTCCACTGTGCTCCAGCCAGGCACCCCTACTTGTACCATCCTCCAGGTCACAGCTGCAGGCCCCATCAGGCCCTGGAATGTGCTCAAGGAGATGAGGGAGGGCTGGGACCCCCGGAGGCATCCCTCCACCTTTCTAAAAGCATTGTCCGTCTGAGCGAGAAGATAGGAAGAATCTGCTGCACCCGTCACCTGTCGCACAAGCAAGTATCCAGTCTCCAGACAGGGCGGGAGCCAGCCCCACCTCCATCTCCAAAGTGATCTTAGAAAAGGGCAAAGGATTTTCTGAGGGTCCCTTTGGCAGCTGTCCCAGGGAGGGTGAATGGACAAGCTTCTACTCCTGTCAGGTTCCAAGGAATCTGCTGGGGCCTGCAGGGCCACACACCCCCCACCCCCACCTCTTGGTCCCTCAGGAATCCCGGCATGATCTCCTGATTGCAGGCCAGGCCTGGCTGTACCACCCAGTACCAGCTGCCACCCCATGGATGGGACTGGGGCCAGGACAGGCCAGGTCAGGTGAAGAAAGCCGAGTCTCAGGGACAGACATTCTGGCCCAGCCACAGCCCCCCTCCCTGGGGTCCACAGCTGCCCAGCTCCTGATCCTGCTGCCTGAGGGCTCCCTACCCAGAGGATCTAATGACACAACTGGTGTAGCCTGTCACTCCACACCTGGGGCCACACCTTCCCAGACTCCAGGCTCCTGCCAATG